GAGTGATGAGCTAAGTCAGAAGCCTACAGAAGGGGCGCCATGCCAGCTACCCCCAACCCCCTGAACAGCAACAATAGCAACTAAGAAGTAGGTTATGTTCTTTGGCCAGAAAAGAGGAGGACAGGAGAATAGGAAGTAAACAAAATGCACCCCAAAGCCTTCATCTCCTCACCTCTTTGTGGATGCAGCCAGCCTCCCAGTCTGTTACTGTGCATTGGACTGCTTTGAGGAACGTTTTAGTCTAGTGGGAAGGGAAGGAAAATGGAAGGAGACATTTTTTCATAGAAGAGAAATAACAGTAATGCTCAAATATGAACATGTATTTATCCAGGGGACATGATGGCTTTTGATCTGGAATTCACTGGGAAACAGTAGGTCTCCAGTAGCTCTATATGGTAGAACAGAATATGTTTCTTTTTTCATTCAAAATAAGTATTAAATGAAGCTGAGACCATATTAAATAAGAGAAAAAACATTTATAAAATATATGATGGAGTTTTATATCCAACCACAGCCTTGTATTTAGTGTATGGTTTTTAGCCTATATATATAATAAAACACTATATTAATGTGTGTTATGGGAAGACACTTTACAGATGCTGCCTAATAAAATATTTTATTTATAATTAAATAGTAATTGTGTTTTGATTCTAAGAGATAATATATTGGAGTATGTCTCCATCTTGGTTTAAATTTAGGGACTGTCTGGTCATTCATAAATATCTTTACAATTTCTTACACCTCGATAGATGCATTCATCACACAGATTACTCAAATATCTCTCACAACTAATCTCAACCATCAAATGCAAAGCTGTAGAAACTTAAAAGGAGTTCTGGGATGAACCTCAGTGAGAGACACATGCTCAGCATGCACAAGGCCAAAAAAAAAAAAAAAAAATCAAACACCCACTGTCATCACCCTAACAAAAAAAAATTAGAAAACATTCATTATCATTATGAGCCACCAAAGTCGTCTTATTTATTATCACTCTTACTTAAACTCCCAAATCAAGATATGGGCCATGACCTATGGATTCATTTCATATTGGATGTGATTACATTAACAGTGTGTTCACAGAGAGATACTTGAAACAAATCAAATTTCACTTTTTTTTTTTTTTTTTTTGAGACAGGGTATCTCTATGCAGCTTTGGCTGACCTGGAACTCATTATGTAGTTCAGGCTGGCCACAAAATCACAGAAATCTGTTTGCCTTCCTAGTGATGGGATTAAAGCTGTGTATCACAATGATGCCCCACCAAACTTTTACCTCCTATCTTTATGTTTACATGTTATTGAAGTGGTTGTCTTGGTCATATTTCTAATCATGTGAAGAGACACCATGACCAAGGCAACGTATAAAGGAAAGCATTTAATTGGGGCATGCTTACAGTTTCAAGGAGTCAGGCCATGATCACCATGGCAGGATGCATGTCAGCAAGCAGGTATGGCGTTAGACCAATGTCTGAGGGCTTGCATTTTATCCACACGTTGGAGGTGGAGAGAGTAAGCCTGGACCTGGTATGGCCTTTTGAAACTTTAAAGCCCACTCCAGTGACTCACCTGCTCCAACAAGGCTACACCTCCTAAAGCTTCCCCAGATAGGTCTACCAACAAGAGAACAAGCATTCAAATATATATGAGCTTATGAGGCCATTCTTAACCAAACCACTACAGTGGTATTCTTTTTTATTTTAATTTTTACCACTTTTAATTAAGCATCTCTATCAGTGCAGGTGAGACCTGTAGAGTTGACCAGAGCTAGTATTACAGGTGTTTGTAAGCTGTCCGATGTGAGTCCCAAGAGATAAGCTTGGGTCCTCTAAAAGAGCAGTCTGTCCCTTAAACATGGAGCCATCTCTTTACCCCTGAAGGGGGTACACTTAAATTGCAATCCCAAACCTGGATTCTGTAGTCATCTGCTATACGAAAACTGAAGTGCCCAGCACTCTGCAAATATCCTTTTGGTTCAAAGTTATCCATTTGTCTCTATCACAGCAGTGTCTGGGCCATGTCCTGTCTTTTTTACATCTGTTTTTGATCTCTGACTCCTGCAAAAATTGATCATTGTATGCAGGTCAATCTGACCCGTACACTATACAAATTGTTTTTGAGATATGAAGCCTTAATATCAGACAGTGTCTAAATCAGCCACAAAAATTTGCCTTGTGCTTTCTGTTGCACAGAGTGTAATTATCTCTTTCATAATTATATAAGGTCTCGATGACTATGTCGCTTTGAAAACATTATGAGAGGGAAAAAAATGCCTTTTCAAATTTTAGCTGGATGATGCTTTTCATTTTAGAAATTAAATACTGATATCCACTACTAAATGGACACTTTCTTCCAAAAATTCTGTGTACTTTATCTGAAAAAAAATGACTTGCTGCTGCCACTCCCTCATTGACTTACGGGTTGTACTTTTACACCACTGAACACAAGAGACTCTGCCATGCTGGCAAGCTTCCCACACTGTCTGCAAATAATTCAATTAGTTAAACTGACCCTTTATTTAGCTAACAAATGAGGGTATGGTTGTGTGGTTGTTTCCCTAGATTTAAAACTGCAGATTCAGCTTTCTAGTCCAGTTTCTATTTAATAATTGAGAGACGAGGGAGATGCCATTTGGCCTTTTCTGTGTCTTACTTTTCTCTTTTATAAGAATGAATATGTACCATTATCCATCCAAAGCAAATGTAGAAAAAAGAAAAGCACTGCTGGATCTTTTTTAGTTTTATAAACACGTATACTTTTCCTCCTTTCTTTTTTTTTTTTTGTGACTAGAGGAATGTACTTTTATTCTAAAATAGGCAAAAAAAA